CTAAAGCCCCCCTAGTTCTGGCTCAACACGACCTGGGACCAAAGGCCCACCACATGACACGAGCCCGCGCCGGGGGCTGGAGGCCTTTAGTTCCGGTTGGTAAGGATTTTTTTTAAAAAAATTGAATTTTTCCGATTTTTCAAATTTCTGAATTATTTGACGACCTTTAGTACCGTATTGGTTTTCCGTTCGTGGCTCCCCATAAATGCAGGTGAGACGTCACCATGGTTCATCTGCCGCACAAAACATGTGCATATGGATGAAAATGGAGCGGAAACGGACGAAACCGAGTGCTATCACATTTGTTTTCATATATTTTTGCAGAAGCGGAAATGAATACGGAAACAGATACTATCGAAAACAGGCACGGAGTAGATACAAAGCAGATACATAAACAAAAGTGGAAGTTGACCGGAACTTAAAAACCTCTTGAACCATAGAGAATTACATACAAAACAAACAAATTTAATGAATTGTTAAGACGGCTACAAAATAATATCATTATGTTAGCAACTTAGTGTAATATTGTAGTAGTACTGGATGATAAAGTATAGGGTCACTAGTGCAGAACCGGGTTATAGCCCCGGTTCGTAAGGGCCTTTAGTGTCGGTTCTGTAACCGGCACTAAAGGGTGGGGACTAAAGGTCCCCCCCTCTTTAGTACCGGTTCGGCTCGAACCGCAGCTAAAGGGCCACCACGTGGTACGAGCCAGGGCCGGGTGTGGGGAGAGCTTTAGTACCGGTTGACCGGTCAAGCTGAATACATGTGTGGTAGTAAAAGTTGGGCCTCAAATGATCCATTCTACTCATTGTATCATTGTGTGTTGTTTGGTAGTTGGGCTACAAAGCAGCCATAAGTCTATAGTCAAAACAGAAATTCCATATTAACGGAAATGGAAAGTTCCGGTTCCGTTTCCACGCCTTTCCACCGCAAAACACCGTTCTGTTTTTGTTTCTGTTTCCGCATAAAAGATGCCATTTCCACTTCCGTTTTGCAAACTTCCGTTTCCGTTTTCATAGTTCCTCTCCGTTTCTATTTTGCCTCCAGAAAAGTGAAAAGTTTTCGCTCCATTTTCATATGCATCAGTACATCTCGAGTTTGCCAATTTAACATTGACCTATAATGTTTCAGGCAAGTACAAGGCAACCCTCAATTGTTTCCCTCACTATTTACATCAAAACCCCTAAGCCCTCCATTGTTTCTTTAACTGTTTACTTCTTCAAAACCCCTAGGCCCCAGCCTGCTACAGTACTTTTTTGTCTTGTCCTTTGGGTGTCTTGTCTCGCACAAGAGAACCAAAACGGGGGAGTGTGCCTGGACCAAGGCACTAAGGGCAAACTGCACTACTAGAATCGCCGTTTATGTCGAGTTCAAAGAAACTCGGCAGAGCACATATTAAACTCGGCAAAATCTTCACCGAGTGCCAAACTCACCGAACCGCACTCGACTGGATGAGGCTGGCAATCATTAATACTGCCGAGTATATTCTATGGAGAACTTAGTGAATATATAAACAATGTTTGCCGAGTTTCGGTCTGAAACAACTTGGCGAACCACACCGTCAGACTGAACGCGTCGTTAACAAAAGTTCCACGTGGCACAACTTTTCACCGAGTTTAGCGGTGCTAAACTCGGCGAAGCGTCACCAATGGAAATAATCCACGTGGCAGACCACATTGCCCGGTACAAAATAACTGTCGGGTTCTTTTTTCAGCAGAACTGGGCAATATGTTTGCCGAGTTCCATACTCAAAAAACATCTAACCAATTAGGGAGCGCCATGTAGCCCAGTGTTATTACCCAGTGCCAAGCTTCGCCGAGCTCTTAGAAGTTGTTGTTGGTGGTGGCGAATGAGGAGTCAATGATGATGCAGATGAAGTCATGAAAGAGAGAGGACCAACCTACAATCGATGTGGCCAGAAGGATTGGCAAGGTTGCCATGCAACTGGGGTCCTTCTTCCTCTTTTTGTCCGACGGAAGAACTTCGATGGATGGGGTAACCATTGTTGCAAGCACAAGTTTATTTTGGATTTGAGGATACGGAACCGATTGCAAATTAAATGCCCTATTCCTGCCTGCCAAAATGAGAGACCACTGCGATTGAGAAAATGACATAACATTGCGACAATCACTCAACAATGAAGAACCAAAAGAGAGATTAGTTAACACTTACCAGATCATACCAACAAATCTAGGACCGTTGTGGAATGGATTAATTAGATAGAAAAAACATGAGTAACAAAGGAAACGAGTGGAGAGTGAGATGAAAGAGGGAGAGGTGGAATAGCTATCTAGTAATGTCATGTTGAGTCGGGTGTGAATGATTGTTGGTGCTAGATCTAGGTCTAGTTCTAGCTTCGCAGATAGATAAGGGTGCCGACCAACTTTGAAGGAGAGATGTACGTGGGAGAGGATTTTCGGGCAAGAGAACAGGTCCATGAAGCTCATTAGATACAACTTAGGTGTAGGGAGAAATATGCCATTTGATTTTGCAACCGAAAGTTAAAGATAGCTTTGCATGTTTATATAAAAGTGCAAATGCGTGAAAAAAGTGTGGATTGCACTTTTCACTAGACTAAAAAAGACTATCGTATGTAATGAATTACTATTGCGACGACATTGACGAGAAGGTTTCCTCCACATATATGTCCTACATCTTCATTCCCTCTTCTGGTGGTATGAAGGATATAAGGTGAGCGGTAACATGTCCTACATGGCAAGAGAGGAGAAAGAAAACAACTCCAATTTTTTTGGTGAACGTGAGGGATCAAAAATATACTTTTTATCTAATATATAGTTCAAATGAAGTGCAGGCTAGAAAAGTTGCCCAAGACACAAATTTTCAGCATGGAGTTATCGATGCACTACACCCATGTAGAAAAGAAATAAAGAATATTGGTTTTACTAATTTCAAGCCGTCTAAGATTTCCTCCAGGCGCCAGGATTTTGAGGCTGGGTATTCATTGGCACACAAAAATTACTCTAAATGTATTATAAAGACACCAGTACGACAATAGTAATTTTAATGCATCAAACCATACTAATTATACATAAGCATAAAGACACCGGTACCTTTTGATTGACAGACTGATGATATCCCATCTTACAATATAACTTTGCGATCGCCTTTTTGGAAGAGATTGATGACATCCTCATCCTTTACTTGATTGAAGAATTCCCTCTCAACAAATGTAACCAAATAATTGTTTAAGTAATCATCACCCATTTTGCTCCTTAGCTTATTCTTCACATAGTTCATTGAAGAGAACACCCTTTTAACACTAGCAGTAGCTACTGACAGAATTAATACCAACTTAAGAAGCTTGTAAACAATAGAGTATTGTTCATGCTTGTTTGTCTCGACAAGCATAACTGAAAACTCACTCAGATTCTTCAAGTTTTGAAACCTTTCATCTCTACGCACATGAGTAACATACATGTTTAATTGCCATGGAAGTCTTGCCAGTTCATCACTTGTGAAATCATTAGCATAAAACTTTGTAGCAAGCCTAACCATAAAACTTACCAGTTCATCACTTGTGAGGTGTTTGAAGCAAAAGACTCCCTAATTGATGCTTGTGGTGTAGTGAACATATCATACTTCTCTTGAGCTTCAGTATGAGCACTACTAACCTCACCTTCATGTTTCTTCAATCTCGATTTCATGTTCCAGTTCCTAAATCCATTCTTCACAAATGCATCTCCACCGGGATATTTTGTCTTATCCTTGAACAGATAGCAAACAAAGCAGAAAGCACTATCTTTTGTCACACTATACTCAATCCATGGAAATTCTTAAACCAAGCACGACAAAAGCGACGGTCAACTCCACTTTTATTTGTATACTCAAAGTTATGATTCTTAGGTTGACATGGCTTCATCTCAATATATCTTCTTCTTACTCTATCTTGGTCATTGACAGCATACATTGAGATGGGAATCCGCTTCCCAGGATCAGGTTCGAGTGCCTCCAAATCTGCTTTCATTGGTTCATCATCTGCATCACTTGTTTCAGCATCTTTATCAATTGGGGTTGGGGTTGCTTCTCCGCTCTCCGGTTCACGTTCCGCATCCGGTGCTTGCACTAACGCCAATTGCATATTGCTCTCAAGCTGAACATGAGAGGTACAAGTACCCGGTGCAGCCGCACTCTGATTCGGTGTCGACGTTTCATCAATCTTCTTTGCTTTTGAAGCTTCTTCCCACAATGCAAGAATCCTACTGCCACCACCAGTCCCATTCTTCTTCTTCTTCATCTACATCACAACAAAACAAGGAAGAAATTAGCATATACAAATTAAATCAGCTACTTGCAATAATTAGGTAAGCAAAATTGAATCAACTAAAAAACTGAAACTCTGTTTTCTTTAGCACTGTATCTGACCGCAGGGGGGAGAAACTGCTGCAGGGGGGGAGAAACATCGATGAACAGAGGGGCGACCGACGGGGCTGGGGCGGCCACAGTAGTGGGCGGCTAGCAGTACCGGCCGGCAGCGGCGTCCGGCGAGGCGGCGAGCACCGGGGCACGGCGGCGATGCAGTCCGGTCGGCGCAGCCCCATGTCCCCAGTAAACCCTGGGGCTTGGCGGCCGGCGACAGCAAGCACTGGCGCCGCTGAGGCCCGAGGGCGGGGCGGGGCGGCGGCCGGTGACGGTGATGGCGGGGCGGGGCGGGCCGGCGGCTAAGGATTGGGAAGTGGGGATTGGGGAGCGAGGCAACTAGCGTGTCAACGAGCGAGCGGTGGGTGCGTGCGGACGTGCGGTACTAGCTATCTATTAATATATATTTTTTGCGCTCAATAATGGGTATTCATACGAATACACATGAATACCCTCAGCGCCGCCGGTGCCTCCAAGTCAAGAACCGATTCAGAAAATGCAACTTCAGGTAAAAAATATAAGTGGCCAAACTGAAACATCCATTCTTCGCCTAGCTAGCTGCCAACCCCGCCGCATCAATCCCCCACCGCCTGCGCGCATCACCGCGCACCCTCGCCGTCGGTATGGACGATGAGAGGACGGAGGCGTGGTGGGCCCGCCGCGCGTGGGCGCTGCTGTCGGCCGTCCGCGAGCGGTCACCGCTGGTGCAGCGCATCACCAACCTCGTCTCCATGGACATCGCCGCCAACGCGCTCACCGCCGCCGGCGCCTCCCCGGCCATGCTCCACTGCCTCCGCGAGATCCCCGACTTCACCCCGCGCTGCGACGCAGTCTACATCAACGTCGGCACACTCTCCGAGGACTGGCTCCCCTCCATGCGCGCCGCCGCCTCCGCCGGCCGCCCCTGGGTGCTCGACCCCGTCGCGGCCGCCGCCTCCGGCTTCCGGATGGAGTCCTGCCTCGAGCTCCTCGTGCTCCGCCCCGCCGTCGTCAGGGGCAACACGTCGGAGATCCTCGCCCTCGCCGCCAGCTCAGACTCCTCCTCCTCCTTCAAGGTACCTCAACTAAATCCAATCCTATTAGTAACTCGTTGTTAATTTCAAATCCAATCCAATCCTAGGGGTGATCGATTGTGAAACTGCAATGTTATAAACTGATTTGATCCACGTGCTCCTGGTACTGTTATTTTGAACGACGATTGATTCTTCAGCTCATTTTGGGGTCATTCAAATTGGCTTGCTGGAAACATATGCTGTCCATGTAATCTTGTGGCTAATTTCAGGTTTAAAAGAAAAACCATAGGCTAGCTGTAAGTGAAAGCTAACATAAGCAGTTCGACACACAACCTGTAAGATTCAAACGTGCTGAAGTTACCTTGTAGCACAAGTGCAGAAAACAGAGAATGGCAGTGCAGTACTATGGAAGAAACACAAAGGAAAGGGACAACAAAGCGACTAAGTGCCTTAGCGTGTCCCTCCTCCCACAGCACTTTTTCCACAGCGATAAGTAGTTTCAGATGTAAGGTAGGAGCTTGCTATGCCAATTTCATTCTGAAGGAAAATGGAAAACAATCTATCAGGGCGATGCACTCCAGTCATTATTCTGTCTCTGAAGAAATATTGGACTGCTGGTCAAACGTCCCTTGCGTTAGTAAAGTCTTTTTGCATGGATTCCAGGACGATTGCCTGATTTGCCCCCCATCTCCCTGTTATTTGAAGATGAGCAATGTGCATACCAAGCCTATTGCCGCTCACAGTATATACTCCATCTTGCTTCTAATGGCACTAATACTTGTGGCCAACTGCAGGGCGTGGACAGTTCACATGACTCAGGGGAGGCCCTGCAAGCCGCGAAAGTGTTGGCACAGTCCAGTGGGGCAGTCATTGCGGTATCTGGAGCACTTGATTTCATCACGGATGGTGAGCAGGTCATCAGTGCTAGCAATGGTGTGGCAATGATGCAGAAGATCACGGCAACAGGGTGTGCTGTGATTGCTCTTATAGCGGCTTTTGTCGGGGCGGATCCTTCCGATGCTCTAGACGCAGCGGCATGTGCGCTCGCCATCTTTGGACTTGCTGGAGAGATTGGGATGGAGTCGGCTAAAGGGCCTGCCTCTCTCTGGATGCACCTCATGGATGCTCTCTACGGGCTCGACGAGCAGACAGTCACATCAGGGGTCAAAATTGCCCTAGTGCTGTAACCCATGTCTACCGTGGCTACCAGTGTTTAGGAAATATAATGTCTCAGGGTGATCTGCAGGGTCCTGGAAAATCATGAAGCGTATCAGATCGTATTGACTGTTGCCATCCATATGTACATGCCCCCATGAATAAATTGCCTGGTGACCATCCATCCACATCCAGGCTGTACTAACTACCAAGTACTCCCTCCGTCCGAAAAAGCTCTAGATACATCCATTTGAGGGACGAGCTTTTTCGGACGGAGGGAGTACATATTTGTGAATGCTGATGCCAAAAAGGTTTTGCACTGTTGTATGATAGCACGGCTGTAGAAGCAAGGGTAAAGTCACTCCGATCATTTGTTCAGAGTTTTGAAGTAAATTGTAAAAGTAAATTCATCATCCAGATCAGTTGATCCAGCAGGCATATCTGCTATATGAAACTGGAGATTGATCAAGAAGTCTCTTCAACATAAACTGTATTCGGATTTTGGTGCTCTTTGGCTGCAGCAGAGCGAGCTGAACGGCTGTCGCCATGGGGCTGGGGTCTGGGTGGCATGTGCTTGTGCAGTGTGTATGCTTACATCCTCTGTCTATTCCTCAACTGAGATACATGTGTTGATTGGATCATGCTATGTAACAAAGCTGATCATGGAGATGTAATCAATCACATTGAACTCAAACATGTTGGAATATTGACTAGTGGGTGAGAGAGTTGCAGGGGATTCATGGAATGCCAGGTTATATCTGTCTTTGAGATCATTGCATGCAGTATTACGTTGCTACCTGGCACTAGTGACATTTCAGTAGCTGAATTCAATTATCAGGGCCCTACTCTACTTTCCTTGTTGGTGACGTACACAAGTCAGCATGTCAAATTAAATACAAGCTCATAGTTCACAAATTGGTACCAACAAGGGTAAAAAATGTTGAATACCGCTGATGCTACAGTCTTCCCTTCACTTGGAGGAACAGATCCTTCATTTGATGATGGCGCTAAATGGCCCCATTCGGCTTCACATCTTGTTCACGTGTCTTTGTTAAGTCGCTCAGCATCTCCATCATCTGCATTATCAGCTCAGGCTCTAGTTGAAATGTCAGGAAAACTTCCATTATGAATCTGGAAGTAATATTCTGCCAAGGGATTAGCTATATTGGAAAAATACTCATGAGCAGTTGATACCGTTTAGCTATGGCGGACTAGCAAACCAAACCTCTGTTCATTGTGACTCAGTTTACATTGTTTTGAGTAATGTTGAGATGTGAAATTCAAGATGGCATTTTAGGGCTGATTTTTTGGGGAATTCACAATTAGTATCTATTTGACACTGCAAAAACACATGATATCTTAGGTTTTGGCACCGATAATATAGAACATAGTTATTTTAAATTATTGGGCCAACAATGTATATGGTGAATGCCGAGGCAAAACCTTTGCAGATTTTATTCAGTCACCCACGTTCTTTATTACAATCATATATATGTCACACGGAGTATAAGCCACTCACTAGAACATTCTCAGTTACAAGCAGTAGGAAAAGAAAAAGATGGTGTGTTGGTGGCTAGGTCAGAAAGAGATATATTGACCCTCTTCAAAAGTAACATGTGATGATAGTTTGCATCTGTTCCAGCGTTTCCATTCTGATCATTGTGGGATGAGCATGCTCTAACCATTCACTGCAGGTCTGATAGTATATATGCATGTTTCTGTCTGCAATGACATCTGAGAAGAAACAACGCTGAAACTAACTGGTGCTTTGTAGCGTTAAACACTCCATTTTCATCTGCAACTCAGCACATCACCAAAATAGTACTAAGAAAAAGGGTTTCCCCCGCTTTATATTATAAAGCAACGAACCAAGCATCCAACAAGTCAGTACATAGTGCAATCAAGTCATAAAGTCGTGCTAGGGGCACAGCAAGACAAGCCCCAAACAAAGCTAAAAAAAGGCTAATCCGGCTCGGGAGGAGGAGGCAGCCGTGGTGGTGGTGGAGCAAAAGCCAAGGCCGAGGAACAGAAACCTGCAATGATGTTATTGATGACGTCTCGGTCACGCTGCTTGCTAAGCGGTCTCCAAAGTTGTAAGAAGCCACACATTTTGTAGATTGCATTAGTCACACGACATGGAATCACACTTTCTATGACAAGTTTATTACGGCAACACCATAACGTCCAAGCGAGGGTACCCAGCGCCACCCAGATGGGTGGGTGCCTGGGACCGGGAATTCTAAGGACCTCCTCAAACAGGTCCGGGAGGTTGTCGTGACACCAGTTGCCACCAACCACCTCCTGGAAACAACTCCAAAGGAATTGAGCCGCCGGACATCGAAAGAAGATGTGGTTGCAGTCTTCCGGGACCAAACAGATGGGGCACAGACCGTTCCCAGGTCCATTACGTTTCTAGACCTCCGTACCCGAAGGTAGGCGTCCTCCGACCCATTGCCAAAGAAATATGCGGATCTTCAATGGGAGTTTGATTTCCCAAAGAACCGCTAGTTCTACTGGTCCCGGCGAAGGGACAATCGCCTGGTAAAGGGACCTAGTTGAGAACCGGCCACTTTGTGTTAGAATTATTGTATAGGGATAAGAGAGGTGTTTAAACTTGTATCTATGTCTTCTTCTCTTTATCCCTTGTAACGACCTTTCCTGGTCGATCTCCTCGTTCTGGTCGATCTCCTCCTATCTCGATCTTCTCTGTAACTTGTTAACCAAGGCTTTGCCTCAATATATACAACGCGGCCCGAGACAAAGGGTTCTACGCTTCCCAAACTACTTTACATGGTAACAGAGCCTCTTCCTCATCAGATCAAAAGAGATCGCATCTAGCTACCTTCGCGACCGAGCCATGTCCACCACCTCCGCCTCCATGTCACCCAACACCATGGGAGCGATCACCACCACCACCTCCTCCTCCACCTTTGCTTCTTCATCCACCGCCACCAACACCTTCCTCGGATCGCCACCACAGGAGAAGCTGACGAGGGGGGGAACTTCCTCCTATGGAAAGCCATCGTGCTTCCCCAGATCAAGGGTGCCCAGATGGAGCACCACCTTGATGCCACGAGCCCGCCACTGTCGGCCACCCTCACCATCACCAAGGAGGGCAAAGAAGAGCAAGTCGTCAACTTCGCCCGCACCCTCTGGTATGCGCAATAACAACTTCAAGGGTTCTTGATGAGTTCCTTTTCCCGCGAGATTCTGTCCCAGGTGGCCACGCTCCAGACGCCGGCCGAGGTGTGGCGCGCCATCAACGGCATGTTCATCGCCCAGAGCCAGGCGCAGGCGATCAACACCCGCATCGAGCTCACCAACCTTAAAAAAGGTAACATGTCCATGGGAGAGTATCTCGGCAAGATCAAAACCCTCACCGATGAAGTTGCTTGCACCGCCTCAGCGCTCTCCGACCCGGAGATCGTCTCCAAAATTCTTGCTGACCTCGACATGGAATATAATCCAGTCGTCTCTGCGCTGGCGGCACGAGTGGAACCTATCACGGTTCTGAAGCTACATAGCCAGCTGCTCAGCTTCGACGCCCGCCTCACCCTCCTCCATGGTGGCGATCTTCGGCAATCTTCTGCATACTCCGCTTCCCGGTGACGTGGCCGTGGCCGTGGTCACCAGGGCACCAACCGCGGTGGCGGACGCGACCGTGGTGCCTCCTCGGGCGACGGTGCCCGCTCTGGTGGCGGCTACGGCAACAACTACCACGGCGGCTACGGCAACAACCAGGGGGGTGGTGGCTTCAACTCCAACACTGGCCGCCGCAACTCCTCTTCGCGTCCTCGCCCTCGGTGTCAACTCTGCAAGAAGGCCGGTCATGAGGTCATCGACTGCTAGCATCGGTACGATGAAAACTTCATCCCTGATTCCAAACTGGTTGCAGCTGCTATGCGCGAGCAAGGTGGGGACGGCGTCTGGTACGTTGACTTCGATGCTACCGATCATGTCACCAATGAGCTAGAGCAACTTGCCCTACGCGAGACGTATCACGACAACGACCAGATCCACACAGCCAGCGGTAAAGGTATGGATATTTGTTTCATTGGTCAAGTTTCGCTTAATTCCCCCGCTCTTCAACGTGATCTTGTTCTTAAGGATGTTCTCCATGTTCCTCAAGCTGACAAAAACCTTGCCTCTATGTCTCGTTTAGCCACCGATAATGATGTTTTCTTTGAAACTCACCCTCGCTATTTTTTTATTAAGGATCGGGCAACGAGGGCACCTCTCTATCACGATAGATGCGTTGGCGGCCTCTACCCCATCTCCTCCGGAGCTCTTAGCAACAAGCATCGTCGAGTCTACTGCGTCATCAAGCCCTCTTTCGAGCGGTGGCATCAAAGATTAGGACATCCCTCATCAGTCATAGTTAGGCAAGTAGTCAATAAAGACAAACTTCCTTTGTCACATAGTTCAGTCTGTTTGCGAAGCATGTCAATGTGCCAAGAGCCATCAGCTTCCCTATCCTAAGTCTACTAGTGTGTCTCATGCCCCATTACAATTGATCTTCAGTGATGTATGGGGTCATGCTCGAGATTCTTTTGGTCAAAAAATATATTATGTTAGCTTCATTTATGATTACAGCAAGTTCACATGGATTTATTTGCGTAAGTATAAATCTGAAGTCTTTTCCATCTTTCAAGAGTTTCAGAAGCTAGTTGAGCGCCACTTTGATAGGAAAATTATTTCAGTGCAAAGTGACTGGGGAGGGGAGTATGAAAAACTCATCTCCTTCTTCTGTGGCATTGGGATCACTCATTATGTGTCTTGCCCTCATGCTCATCAGCAAAATGGTTCTGCTGAACGCGAACATCGTCATATCGTCGAAGTTGGTCTATCCCTTTTAGCTCATGCATCTATGCCTCTCAAGTATTGGGATGAGGCCTTCATCACCGCTACATATCTTATCAACCGTCTTCCCAGTAAGGTCATTGGCAATTCCACTCCTTTAGAACAATTGTATCATCAAAAGCTAGACTACAACTCTCTCAAAAAATTTGGTTGTGCATGTTACCCCAACCTA